ATCGATTAACATTTAATTTTGAAGACGATCCCTCAGCTTCAAATTAAATTGTAAATTTGTAATTTGTAAATATGTATTTACTTTTTACATTGTATTTGTAATTTAATAAACAATGTAAGTTTGTACAATTTGTAATTCGTCACAAAATGATTGCACTCTTTTTTCCTTGCCAAGTTTTTATCCCAATTGGGTTTTTCTTGGTAAGGTTTTTAATGAGGCAATCATGAATTACAAATTTAAAAATTAATAAAGAAATAATTTTTTTATATAGTTCGTGTGTTCATTTCAAATTTAATATATATATATATATAAATTGTAATACTAATATATATATAAATAACTTAATATTAAAAAAAAAGTTTAAAAAATTCAGGCAATTCGGGCGGGCTCGGGCCGCTGAATACAAGCCCGCGGCCCGTTCAAGGTGAAATTCGGGCTCGGGCGGGCGGCCCCAAAATCTTGGGCGGGTCGGGTTCGGGCTCGGACAAATCCTCGGGCTTTTCGGGCGGTCGCGGGCGGCCCGTCCAAAGTTCCAGCACTAGGTACAAGCAATAAAGAACCGAGCATTTTCTAAAATACCCATTCATTTTTTAGAGTTATATTTTTTTATTGTGATAGAATACCTATTTAATAATAATATGTTAAATTATAAATAATAATTTGTTAAATTTTAGATAATAATATATTAAATTACGCTATTTACTTGTGAGTTGAGACGCGTTAATAATAATTTGTTAAATTATTTACTCTAAAAATATAAAATTTAATAAGTTAATATTGAGAGTAAAAAATACATGATGATATCATTTTAATGGGTATTTACCAAAATTTCCTCAAATTAAATATATATATATATATAGTTTTTTTTTTAAAAAAGAAGCAAAATATAAAACCCTAACTAAGGTGCTGGAGAAATCCTGTTTAAAGCAAAGCCAGCCGTGTGTCGAAACCCTAGCACTACCGAGCCACCTTTTCTGCTCTACATTTTTCCATTTCTTAAACCCTAGATTCTTCATTCCGAGCTCAGTCTCTTCGCCGTCGACCGATATTTGATGTGAGTTCTGCGAAATTTTCAGTTCAATTTTATAATCGTTCATTGTGTTCCGTCATTTCCTTTGAGTTCTGATTTTTGTGTTTGGGTCTTTGATTTTTCGTTTTTCTGATTTTGAAGATTCGAGAGCGATTTCAGAGCTTCGAAACGATGTCGGACGATGAAAGGGAGGAGAAGGATACAAAAGCGCCGCTGAGATTGTTAATAGTAACTCTCTCTCTCTCTCTCCATCTTTGTGTTTGTGAATTTAGGCATATTTGTTGTGTATAATTTGGGTATTGGGAAAAATGAAGGTTATTGGTGTTTAGTTATCGATGGTTTTCTTCGAACTTATTAAGGTAATTGACTGGAATTTGGATTTATGTTTTGCAGAGGCTTTGCAGCTAGTAACATACTAAACAACTAACGACGCCTCTTTCTTCTCTGAATCTCTGCCCTAGTTTCCTCTCTGCCCTCATACTTTCACCTCTGCGCCTCTTTCTTCTTCTTCTTCTCTCGAAATAGCGACGTTGGTTTCTTGGCTGATTCTCCGCCTGCCCTCAAATTTCCTTCTCTGCCCTCAAATTTGTACATCTCCTTCATCTCAGCTGCCGCCTGCCCTCAAATTTCCACAGTGAGTTTTTAGATTTGGAGCAACTTTCTCTCAAAATAGCGACAAGGTAAGTTATGTTCTTCTATTTTTTTCTTTTGTTTTGTTTTTCTTCTTGCTTCCATTAGAAAATGTTGTGCACACACATTGAAAGCTCGGCAGATTTTCAGCTTAGGGTTGCGACAAAATTTTCAACTTTCTTTCTTTCCTTTTCTTTCGTTCCTTACTTTTATTTTCCTATATTTATGGTTATTTTTCACTTGATAACTTATGCGAAGCATGTTACCAAACCAGTTTCCTTAGAAGCACCGAGGAATAACTTGCAATAAACATCAAACATAACGGGATATTATATGATCCGCGAGTAATACATTTGAATAAGTACTGGATTCGCGAGCATAACGGGATATTGTCTCTGTTTTTTTTTTTATAGAAAAGGATTAAACACTACTCACGACTTTGGTGTCTGAACAAGCTAGCTTGCTTAACTTGCAGTCTACCAAAGTGTTGTAGAGCAAAATACTTTTTGGTCTTTCTTTTCCTTCTGCTGTCTGGGACCAAAGTGTTGTGTTACCACAACTAAACCACTGCCAATATCACTTTGGCATCTTAATTTATTCATAGAGAATTCTTGGTAATAGAATCAAGGTCTTAGTGAAAACATGTACTGGGCTAAGATGGAATGTGAGAATATTGTAATTTTGATGGGTTATTAACATAAATTCAATTTGTGGCGGTGTTAGTTTTTGCAAGTTTGCCTATGAGTACCTGAGGAAAAGAAAGTTAGCCTATGGAGTATAGGAATGTGACATTACATCCCAGCCACGGGCCACTTAAAAAAGTTGGGCAGGCTCCATGATAAGCTGTCATAGATTTGTGATTGGGATAATCTATCTAACAAATTTACCTCTTGTAATAGACCTATATATGCATATATATATATATATATATATATATATGGTTCCCGAATAAGGTAACATGTTCATTTACTCTTGTGATTTGGACCTTCAACATGCACCATCATTTGTACCCTGAAAGTTTGGACCTATATATGCATATATCTATGTATATTGTACCTTGAAAGTTTTTCTGATTTTGTTTTCTCTTAATTCTATTGTAGATGAACAACAATGATTTGGAGGCACAAAGTGAGAACAATGATTTAGAGGAACCAATAGATGTGGATATTGAGCTTGAGGAGGATGTGGTTGAGCTCATAGGCATCGGTGGCCAAAAACCTCTCAAGAAGAAGTTGAAATCAAAAGTTTGGAACTTTTTTGACATCCTTCCTCTTGGTTCGGACAAAAAGCTTAGGAGTGCTTACAAGAAGTGTGGGCAACAATATCTTGCTGCCAGTAAGTATGGAACAGGTAAAATGTTAAAGCATATTAAACTTGTTTGAGATCAGACACTAGAGATATTGGTCAAATGTTTATTTCTCATGATAGTAGCTTGTCGTTTGTTTAACACCCCTAGGTGGGGGTTACGCAATAAGAATAAAATACGAGGGACAAACGAAAATAAAAATAAAATATAACTCTCAAAATATAAACGACAAGTGTCCATGGGACTTTCAACGAAAAACTCATAATTAAAAATCACAAATTGACAAAAAAAATAAAACCAGAAATCCACAGTACAATGTAGCAATAAGTAAAATACTTAAATAATACAACCATCATCAGTCACATTCCTGTCGAAACAACCCAGTTCAGAATCTTACATAATGGAAGAAGAAGACCAAAAGAAGGGATAAGTCTCAAACACGTGCGCACTGTGAGATGTCTACTCCTCGTCTGAAAGATTACACTGTACACCGCCTGGGAATGGGATGAGAAAAGGGACGAGCATGAAATGCTCAGTAGGAGGACTATTACTCACCTTTAGTTTTATTTAATTTTCTAATTAAACTTGCATGGTTAGTAGTTTTTTATGTTTTGTGTATAATGAGTCAGATGATCAGTGTTAGTGAGATAATCCAATCCGTACGCTCGTGACGAAAAACCCCTAAAGGGCGCGGTGATTCAGAGGCACTAATAGCAAGGAGCTCTATCTCGGGGTCCCTACCAGATCAGTTATCGAACCACGGGCAATGGTGAATTGTTGTTCCGAGCCCTCACCAAGACGCAACCACTGTACAGTAACCTTGAGGATTCTCAACCTCGAAGAGCGTCTGCACTCTTTTACCTTTTTGGGTCCATACCCAGGGATAGTGAACGGTCACACCTACTGTTAGCACACTATCTCACTATCGTGTCTGATTTACATTCTCTTAACCATGCTTTTGTGTCAAATTCTAAATTTATGTCAAATCTCTTGGCCACGCTGTACAATACAGGACGGGCCCCTTAATGGTTTTGTTCAAGTCATATCGTATAATAGTAATAAAGAAGTTTAATGTCCAATTTCATTCTCCTCATATTTAACAAAGCTAATTAAATTAAATAAAATTTCACAAAAGTTAAGTAATAGGACTCCTACCTCAAAACGGATCCCAGATTGTCAATTAGAAGTCGGAAAGCTGAGAAACAAAGCTTCGCCAGAATCCGGCCACCGACGGTGGCGGCACGGCGGCGGAGCTTCCCGGAGAAGAATCTCACGGCGGACTTGAGTCCTACTCCCCCTAAATCGATGGTTCTGAATTCAATGGCGGTGTCAATTTTACCAAATTTAACCTCTTAACAACTCGGATTGAGATCCTCAATTCCGGTCGAATTTTGAGCCTTGAATCTTTATTTTTAAGCCACGAATCTTCAAAATTGATTGAGGGCTTTCGTTACTCGTGAGATTCTGAGCATTTTGACACCAAGATCACGGGGATCCAATGGCTAAATCACTGGAACCATCCTCCCATTTTTCTCACGGCGGCGGCGGCTCGTTTTCCGGCAAGGCGGCGGCGGTGACCACAGTTGGTAGCCCAGAACGACTCACTGGCTCCCTCTGAAGCTAATGGGCTGGGCAGTGTCGTTCACGGCGATCGGAGAAGGGAGATCCGAGGGCGGCGGCGGCGAGAAATTCGACCACCACGGGCGGCGGCGCTCCGGTCAGAATCAAGTCGTGCTGCTGGTATGGTTTTCTTCGTCTCTTCGCTCTGAGTCTATTGGGACCGGAATCACCTCGATCGGACACCGGACGGCAAAGATATCACGATTAAAAATTTGGGTGTTTTTTTCGGAACTTTGGCCGGCGAGTGTGGCGTTGTTCGGCGGAGTTGGCGGCTGGAAGACACCAATCTGGACTCAGCTCGACGTGATCTTTTCAACGAGCCGGGAGGTGTCAAAAACGGACGCCGGAATCTCACCGGAGGTTGGTCGGCCGTACGTGGAGAAAGAGAGAGAGAGAGAGAGAGAAAGTGAGGGTTTTCTGTTTTGGTGAGGATGAGACACGCCCAAGTGGCACTAAATAACAGGTTATGCATGCTAACTGTCAAAATTTTTATTTTTGACCCCACATTTCTTCTAAATTCGAATTCTGGCCCAGATTTCTAAACTTTTCTCACTTTAGTTTTTAAAAATTACAAATTGACCCTAAAATAATTTTTGGATTTTATAACTTCGTCCCCCTTAAGAAATTTCGTCCTTGAAATTACAATTACAACTGTATTCAGAATAAATAGGGGTACTTTTTCTGCATCTCTGACTCGAGCTCCCAAGTAGCTTCCTCATCTCTATGATACTGTTATAGGACTTTTATCAAGGGAATCTCACGATGACGCAGAGTCTTAATCTCACGTTTTAAAATCTGAACAGGAAACTCCTCGTAAGTCGTGTCTACCTGGATCGGGACATCTGTCCATGTTATTATCTGAGACGGATCTAGTTCGTACTTCCATAGCATCGACACGTTGAAGACATTATGGACATGAGACAATTGAGATGGCAGGTCTAGGCGATATGCAACTGGTCCCAATTCGCTCTAGTATCTGAAATGGCCCTGTGTATCTCGGTGCAAGCTTGCCTCGAATACCAAAACGAGAAACACCACGTTTTGGGGTCACTTTTAAGAACACAAAGTCTCCAATCTCGAACTCCAACGGTCGTCTCCAGTTATCTGCATAACTTTTTTGTCGACTTTGAGCAGCTTTGAGGCGATCATGAATAAATTGAACCCTATCTGTCGTTTTCCGTACAAATTGAGGTCCAAGATTAATGCGTTCTTTCTCAGCCCAACATAAAGGAGATCTACAGGGTCTACCATATAGAGCCTCAAATGGAGCCGCTCTGATTGTCCATCAGTCTGAGGATGAAAAGCGGTGCTAAATCTCAACTCAGTTCCCAAAGCATTCTGTAATCCTTTCCAAAACTTGGAAGTGAATCGAGCGTCACGATCAGAGACAATAGACATAGGGAAACTGTGTAACGTGACTACCCTCTCAATGTACAATCGACACAGCTTGGGACCTTATAATTAGCTCTCATAGGAATGAATCTTGAATTTTTGTCTTATGCCACCTCCACCCACTGGGATAGCGCTATCTGCGAAAATCTTTTCCTTATTAAGTGATTGGGGAATTGAGGAAAATATTTTCAATATAACTTTAGATAATGCTGCTTTGAATGATGTCTCCGTGGATGCATTGCAAAAGCAATTGAACTTGCGTGGTTTGTTGCCTTTTCATGGGAACGAGGTCGTGTAAAAGTTTAAGAACCATCAACACCATTAATCATTTTTTTTTCCCTTCTACGTTTCCTTATAGAGACTAGAGAGGGAAAGAGAGTAAAGTAATTCTCTAAAAATTGCCTCCATCTCCCTTGGCCTCACACAGTCAGACTCTAATCCTAACTCACACTTTCTTCCGCTTCCCCCAAAATGGCAGCTTCCTGATGGCTCACCCTGGCTTTTGAATCTCCTTTTGATGCCTAAAGAAGAGAAAACATGAACACAAAAGCGTATATTTGAAAAGGGTTTTGCTTTACATAAAAATAACGGCATCAACAACATTGTAGTCGTGATTGCCCCCCTAGTCTTGGTGGATGAGGAAGGAATTTTTGGGTAAGGAGAAAATATGTAAACGGTTGAGCTATGAAAAAAGTTTTGCTCCTGTTTTCTACTTTGTTATATCTGGGTTTTTGCTTGTTCCGTTAGAATTTTTACTTTTCAAGCAGATATACAGTCAAGATTAGTATAAACAGTCCGAATTGTGGTATATGTATTTTTGCTTAGAGCTGAGAAGATTTTTATACTAATCTTGACTGTATATCTGCTTGAAAAGTAAAAATTCTAACGGAACAAGCAAAAACCCAGATATAACAAAGTAGAAAACAGGAGCAAAACTTTTTTCATAGCTCAACCGTTTACATATTTTCTCCTTACCCAAAAATTCCTTCCTCATCCACCAAGACTAGGGGGGCAATCACGACTCCAATGTTGTTGATGACGTTCTTTTCATGTAAAGCAAAACCCTTTTCAAATATACGCTTTTGTGTTCATGTTTTCTACAATGTTGTTGATGCCGTTATTTTTATGTAAAGCAAAACCCTTTTCAAATATACGCTTTTGTGTTCATGTTTTCTCTTCTTTAGGCATCAAAAGGAGATTCAAAAGCCAGGGTGAGCCATCAGGAAGCTGCCATTTTGGGGGAAGCGGAAGAAAGTGTGAGTTAGGATTAGAGTCTGACTGTGTGAGGCCAAGGGAGATGGAGGCGATTTTTAGAGAATTACTCTCTTTCCCGCTCTAGTCTCTATAAGGAAACGTAGAAGGGAAAAAAAAAATGGTGTTGATGGTTCTTGAACTTTTACACGACCTCGTTCCCAATCTAAAATTATGGGCAGATTCATCCCTGAACTAGATAATTTTTAGTGGCAACGGAATATGTGACATAAGATGCTCTGGTAGATGCTTCAAAGGAGACTAAAAGCATTCCAAGAACTGGGGTTGTAGGAACAATAGCTCTCTGTTTCTTTTTTTCGCTTTCGCCCCTTTCTTACTTTTGTCCAACATGTTTTGCGTTGACATTTGCCGACAATTGAGAAGCATATAGTCTCCATTTATATAAAGTTTGCTATGGGTTCACCGTAGCTGGCAGCCACCTTAAACTCTGCCCATAGCCATCTCAGCTCTCTCCAGACTACCAGTGGATCTCCACAGTGCTTTTTCTTTTTCTTTTTTCTCCTCCTGACTGCCATCATCCACATATGATATATGCTGCAACTCCTACGCTCTTTATATATGTGGCTGTTATTTTTATGTGAATCCCCACCTTTAGTGGTGTTTGCTATAGGTGCTCTTGGTCTAAAGATGTTACTGAATTCTGTATCGCAGATCTCCAAAATATGGGGTCAGAAACAACAGTTTCTCTGAAGAAAAGTAAAAAAGCAAGTAAGAAGCGTGCAGCATCTGATCCAGACCATTCAACTTCGGGAGATATAGTTGACATTGGTGAGTTTTTCTTAATTGGACAATGAGTGTTGCTTTCTTATCACATGATAACTCTAGCTCCCTCATATTGCCTCAAACATGTATGGGGAATTGATCATCAATAATATGTACTGCGTGGAGTTCAATGACTGAGGATCCTTTTTTTCGTTTTTATGATAATTATGTCCTGAATATTTAATATATAGGTAACGGAGAGGTGGCTGATGGAGTTCTTGTTGATGATGATTTAAATGAGCCAACCATGGGTGAAAAACTCGCAACTTTAAATTTAGTAGATGGTGATATAGAAAACAGAAACAAAAATGATGAGCTTCCTCTCGCTGCAAAGCCTCCTAGGGCAGACTCTGTTCATGTTCTGCTTAGGCAAGCACTGCATGCTGATGACCGCGCCCTTCTGTTAAATTACTTATACACCCAAGATGAGAAGGTATCTCTTCTCCTTAGGCTACGCCTTTTGGCTACTTTGAGAGCAGCCAGATGAAAAGTCAATGTTAATATGAACAATACATTTTCTTGTTGCAGGTTATTGCAAAATCAATCTCACTCTTTAATCCGTCAGATGTTTCAAAGCTTCTACAGTCCCTTATATCTAGTATTCAGTCAAGGTGAAAACTTGGCACCTTCAGTGATTTATTATTCTTAGATTATAGCAATTAACCGTTACTTGCATACTATATAACAGCTCAATAAGTCACGCTAGGTTTATGTTTTGTGCATCTATAAGGACGGCTTACATCTTTTCAGGCCTTGTATCCCCAGGACCATTTAAGACTTGTTTTTGGTCTTACTTTGGGTTTTCTTTCGACCTTCGTATGATAATAAGTGACATCATAGCTGGATACTTCTTAAGTGGCTTGCAGAGCTTGATTTATCCAATGTTCTTTTCCCTTTTCTTGTTGTTCTGGACAACAAATCGGTCTGTTTTTTTGTGCCTAACTGCTATTTTTACCTATTTTTGGTCCAGGGGTGCAATCTTGGCATGTGCCCTTCCGTGGTTGAGATGCCTACTTCTCCAGCATGCCAGTGGAATAATGTCCCAGGAATTTTCTATAGTTTCCTTGAACTCTTTGTATCAGGTACTTTCTGAAGCTGACCTGAAAACCTAAAGAACTGTCGGTTTAAGAAGAGACCATGTGCACGGCTTATTGGGAGTGAAGTTGTCCCATCATATTTTTTCATTAAATTGCAAGGCATTTTTTTTTTTTAACAAATGGGAATTTTGATGTACTCAGCTCATAGAATCTAGAGTTTCCACTTTCCATTCTGCTCTTCAACTATCAAGTGTGCTAGGCGTGCTTTATGCTGACGTAAGTGTCTGTTGAAGTCCTTGTATAATATCTGCAAGCTGATAAAGCTCTTTACTTAACGGGCTCTTTTTCTGAACAGATTGTGGACGATGAAGTGGATGAAAGCAATGTGATTGTGCCAGTTATTATCGAGGACAAAGATGAAAGTGATGAGGAGGAATCCGAAGATACCATGGAAAACCGACGGAACCAGCGAGGAAGATAGTGAGGCTCCTGATGAAGCATTTGGTGGTCTTAGCGATTGAAGGAAACGACATGAGCGAGTAGTATACAAGACTGACAAACTCTGAGGGGGAAACCTAGTTTTGAGGGTGGCGAAATATCATATGTTAATTGATTATTATACGAGTCAATTGTATTAACCCGCTTAAACGCTGCAAATGAATGACAAATTTTCCCGGTGTTTTTATCTGCTGATTTTGCGTAGTGTTTTCCTTCCTTTTCGCTTTTACACCTTAAAAGAGCAAAGCGAGGTTAAATTCCTCGTAGTGAGGCTGTGGTAATGGTAGACTTAATTTACATCTTTGACATTATTATATATACTAAAGAAGAGGCATATTTTATTGTGCATAGGATAGTGAAATACCGGTTTTACCCCTTGAATTTAAATTGTCGAGTTTGTCTACAATATTTCATCTTTAAAAGATGAATTATTGTCGAGTTTTGAAGGTGGCGAGAATATCATATGTTAATCTTTTCTTGTCTTATGATTTGATTGTACATGTTTATCTTCAATATCACCACTACAAATATCAACTGTCACAGCACTACATCTAAAAACACCGTACCCAAAAAGATTGACAATAAGGTAAGATATTTACTAATTTATATCAATTATCAATAAAAATCAACATTTATTATTTTAAATACATATCTTAACAATCTTTTATCATTTCAATTCTGAACCAAAGGCAACATACCCATTTAGAAAACGCCCAAATACCATGTAATATAACTGTTGTGAGAAATCGTAACGCAAGTATACGCTATCGCAATCAAGTAATATAATAGTGAATAAGAGTATCGTCTCACGAGGATTGTTGTTTACTAATTATCAAAATTATATTAACTCCAATTTTATTTGAATAATCGAAAAGAGATTTTATAAAATTAAATAAAGTAAAACTAAAACAATTAAATAAATAAAACAATGCTATTCAATGGAATAAAATTTAATAGATTAAGACTCTAGGGTTTCAGAATTCACCAAAATTAATCTTGTTCAAATTTCTATAATTCAAGAAAATTAATATTCAATCATATACTGACAGTAATTTCTCTAAAGCAATTATTATTCTTTCTCAAGCAACAATAATTCTAATCCAACAAGCAAACTCTACATCTCTGTCAGACTTCTAAACCTGTTGAAAATCATTAAGTGCAAGAAATTCAAAAGAACTGCACAAGCATCATATATATCTCTATCCTATGAACAACTCATGGTATTTCAATTAAGAACTTATTTAATTATCACCTCTCAGTCTCAAATCAAATACAAAATCATGTAATAGTTGGCCAAACAATCACAAGCATTAAGAATAAATTGAAATACTCAGCATATATGGATTAAACATCAATTAACTAAAAAGAAGATTGAGAATTTGAACATTCATAATCCGGTTACATCGTAGCCCTAGAAAAAGAAATTAGTTCATCTCTAAACAAAATAAATTCCTAAACAAAGTCTTAATCACTGGAGAGGAAAGAGAAGAACTAGTTTGGAGTTGAATTGAAGCGTCTCCGTCTCCGGATTTGAGCCGTTGTTATTCTCCGTACCCAATTCTCTTTTTCTTCTCCCAAGAGTTAGCCGTCACTCCCAGTCCAAAAGTCCCTTTAATAGCCCTAGAATTATCTATTTATATGTTTTGGAGCATTAGGGTCAAAACATGTAAGTTTTCTCACGATTTACCTTCAAAATGCGTCTTTTCTCGCGTCGTAGTGCCACGGCGCTGAGTTCCTAGCGCTGCGGCGCTGGTTGTGCAAAAATCAGGAGCGTTGTCATGGGCGCCAAAACGCTGCCCGTTCTGTCCAAATGTACTGGTTTCGTAAAACTTAGCGCCAAAATGCTACAAATTGGCGCCTAAACAATGGGTTTGCTGTCTTTTTCCACCACAAGTTGTCCAAAACCTTCCAAATCATAGACTTTCACCTAACCTTCAAACAAAGAACAAAAACACACATAAAAACTAACAAAAAACCTCAAAAACTAACTAGTTATTAAGTGTAAAACGATACTAAATGAGCGAGTAAAACTCACTCATCAATAACTACTTCTAAATCCTTTGATTTACACTACATATAATTAAAGATTTTCAACTTCTTGAATTATTATTATTAATTTTTTAAAAATTTGCATTTTGCTGTTAAGAAGAACAAAAGAAAAAAATAAAACCAGAGCTATAATATATTGTAAGAAATTTTTGACTAAAATATTATATAGATTTATATTTATATAAATTAATCCTATAATATAAAAATTTCTAATTTTTTTGTATAATACAATAATATTTTTCACAACAAGCGTAAAATTTTAGCCAGTTAAATCGAAAGATGAATTATTTGGTAATAACTCTGACCAATAAATTTAGAATGAAGCCATAATATGCCTCAAATTTTTACAGCATCCATAATATGGCTGGGTAATTACCGCCGCATTAGTAGGACTTAGGACTTTGTTTTGAAGCATCATATTTGTACTAAATTCTTTTAATTTCACGTACTTTTCTCCGTTTTTTAATGGTTGGTATCAAGTTCTTTTAATTATACATACTTTTTTTATGTGATTTTAATAATATTTAACATTTAAAAACATAATAATCGGTACTAGACTAGAAAGCTTCCAACAAAAAACTATTAATCATTTTACGTCAAAAATTGAAAAAGCTACACGTCATTTTTCTTGTACCACGACATCGTTAAACATAATTATCGGTACTACACTAGAAAGCTTCTAGCAAAAAACTATTTATCGTTGAGCCCTTAAAAAAAATAAATGAAGTAAATAGTAAATTTACAATAAATAATTAAAGTAAATAACAGATTAAAATTATTTAAAGTAAATAACAGTTTATCGTATAAATTTTTTTTATGACTTGTAAAAAGATTTTTACTCATATAAATTTTCTTTTTATAATTGGTAAAAAGATTTTTTTTTCACATAAATAAAGATTTTTAATCACATTATTTTACCAATCGTAAATGATAATTTTATATGATAAACTGCTATTTATTTTAAATTTGAGGTTAAAATATAATTTTTCAAAGGTTTTGAAGTCAAAATAAAATTTTATTAAATTTTAAGGTCAAACTATAATTTTATAAAAGTTTTAAGATTAAAATGTAATTTTATAAAAATTTTAAAATCAAAATATAATTTTTTAAAAATAAAAATTTTGCATTGTACTCCTTAAATTTTTTAACAATTATAACTCATGTACAACTTTATCTTAATCTGACTCTGACTTTTAGTGTACGTTTGGTTCATAAATTTAAAATTATGATTCAGAATTATTCTTAATTTACGTGTATTTTTTTATGAGAGAAAACACTATAACAAATAATAAACTACGATTTAAATCATAGTATAAATCCCATTACTAAATAGAGCTCAATCCTAATATAAATTATTAATTCATTATAAAAAATATTATATAATACGTTAAAAATAAACTGTATAATTCATATTAATTTATATAATATAATAATTATATTAAATATTATATTGTTATATTATTATATAATACCATCCTCTAATAAAGTGAAAGTTAATCGGTTAACGCGTCGCCGTTTAGCGCGTAATGTTGGCGACCTCGCTCTATAAATAATAGCCCCTCGACCCTGTCGTCCGGTCCGCCAATTTAGAACACCACGTCTTACTAGGTTTTTAGCATTCAGAGAGGAAACAAATTTTCTTCCTTTAGGGTTAGGGTTTCTTGATCTTCTTCTGTTTGATCCCTAATATTTGAGCTGAGATATGTCTCGTTGTTTTCCGTTTCCGCCTCCGTCGTACGCGGACAAAGGGGCGTACTGGGAGGCCTTGAATAAGGTTCGTTGGGCGATAGCTTTTTCGCGTTTGTGCTCAACTGGTTTTGTTCGAAAATTGATTGCTTTTTAAGTGCAAGGGTTCTCTTTACTCGCCATGTTCCGGGAATTATTTGGGTATTGATAATTGGGTGTATTGATTTGAAACTCATTCCTTTGATTTTGGGATTTAGGGTTCGGAAATTGAACTTTTTGGAAAAATTTTGGTCTAGTTTATTTTGCTAAAGATGAAGAAAGGGAAGAATAAGGTTTGAAAATACCTGCATGGGTGCCTTTGTTTTCATGCATTTTTTTCCTTCGATTCTTTAATCTCAAGATGTCTAAGATTATGGGCAATCATGGTTTGATTGAATCTATACCCTATGCGACGCATGAGTTGGGTTATTTACAGATCTTGTTCGATCGCAATTTTGATAGTGTGTTGTTGGCATTTTAAGATTTGATGTTTTTAAGGTGATGATTAGTTTATGTAATCAGTTTGAAGTGATTTTCTTAAATAAAAAAAAATGTTTATTAGACCAAATTATTGTGAAACTGGCAGCTCTTTGTTGCGGCTTTTTCTTTAAAAATAGAATTCTTGAACTTGACAAGATTTCCAAGAACTTTAAATGTTACTTTAGTTTTCAATTGAATTTCTTTCGAGAAAGGTTCTTAAGATTTTGCTTAATTTAAAGTATAGTTAATCTTGTGTGAATCCTGTTTTGCCAAAACCTGTTTAACTTCCTAGAGTACATGTGACAATGAATGTCCTGTTGTATTGGGATCTTCCTGGTAATGAGAATCTGTGGATATTCGTACTTGTTTGATCTTCTCTACCCGTCTTATGGACTGTCATTCTGGTGCTTCAATAGCTCCGGAAAGAAAAGGATGAAGCAAAGATAGAGTGGAGGAAAGAGAAGAATTTGAAGAAGTTAAGGAAAGAGGAGAAAATTAAGGAGGAAAGGACACCGAGATATGTCACCGATGTCAAAGTGAGGAAACTCGAGGATGGAAAGATTAAAGCTGGCTCAACTGCCAAGTTTCCTTTAAAGAGAGTTGATGACGAATCTGATCAATTGGAAAAGAGCGATCTCTCTGAAGAACACGGGCAGCCAACCTTTTCAGGAAGCATTTGCCACTTGTCTGATTGCTGCACCCAAAGCAGCAAGAAGACGAATAGGCAGGAGTCCTCATTCAATGGCAGCGAAAGCGAAAGTGGGTTTTCGTTTCTTTATATGACAACCATGCTTGATTTTGTTACCTCTTTCATTGGACTAATATAACATTGATCTTTGGTTGCCTTTCTAAAATCAAACAGGAGTAACTTTTCGCATTAGGTTGCCATTGAGGAAGCACATAGAGCCAGATTCTTCATTGAGCGAACAGGACAAGAATGGCCATTCCACAGGGTCTGCAACTTGCGCTCAAGAGGGGACGGTCTTGGGTAATGCACAGATGAATGTAGAACTTGCGCAACTCAAACCTTCATGGCACCCGGCGTTGCCATTCTCAGGACAAGAGAGAACTGACACCAGAAGATCCAAAGAAACCAGTTCTCATATAAATGAGATTTGGCGTGCTGAATCAGCCTACAAAACATTGACTGAGAATTGGGTGCCTGACCCTCCTATGCATCAGTTGTGGCAAAATGATTTTGATGACGAGGATTGTTTCTTGGCTTCAAGAAAGAAGCAAGAGTCTAAAAGACACAAAACCAACATTGAAGTATCATGTTCGAGGAGCTCCGGTTTGTGGCCGCAAGCGGAGTACTTATTGGAAGTCGGCATATGTGCATTGCCTTATGTAGTCCCGTTTTGATTTTTTTTTTTTTAATTCTTTTTTTCAATTCATTTGTTCTCCACTCACCCATTAGATATTATAGTAACGAAGTTGTACATATTCTACCATGAGCAGTCGAGCTCTTTTTGTGTACCACTTGGTCGTTCTTTCCGGTGAAAGTTTTGTAATTTGTACAGAAATTGGTTAGGAGTTGCTTATGATGATTAATTATGTAAATTAAAAGTTGGGACTTTCTTTTGGTAGGCTTCTCTACCAATAGAATTGGTTTCTTACTGTTGGTTGGATATGCAGAACAAATACAAAACGAAAAGTAAAGAATTATAGGTAGGTTATAACTTTATTTAAAGTGAAACTCCATTTAAAGTTAATTTTCTTTTTGTAGACCGGCCACTTTGTAACCCGAATGGTGATTATAATCATAGCGAAAGTTTAAACTGCAATTCTTGAAGCTTCAATGCGAGTCTAGCATTGTGCATAAGTGGCATGGCATTTAAGTAATCCTCACATTTTGAATTTATTGGTTTGAACTAGTACTGAAATTTTGGACGGGCCGCCTGCGACCACCGAAAAGTCTGAATTTTTTACCGATGACCGAACTCGATTTGTCCGAATTTTTGGGCTGCCCGACCCGACCCGAAAATTACCATGAACGGGCTTCGGGCAGAGGATGCCTGCCCGTGCCCGGTCGGGTTGCCCGACGCCCGACCGGCTGCCCGATTTTTTTTTATATTATATTTTTATGTTGTAGAAATAAGTATTTGTATAATTACAATGTGTATATTACAATTTGAAATATGAAATGAACACTGAACACACGAACGAACTATATAAAAAAAATTACTTCTTCATTGATTTTTAAATTTGTAATTCATGATTGTCTCATTAAAAACCTTACCACGAAAAACTCAATTGGGATAAAAACTTGGTAAGGAAAAAAGAGTGCAATCATTGTGGGACAAATTACAAATTTGATGAACTTACAAAGTCTATACAAGATTACAATAAACACTATACAAATTAGAAATTACAAAGTAAATAAATATTTACAAAGAAATTATCAAGATCAAGCAGAATGATCATCTTGAAAATTAAAAGTTAATCTATTAAATTCGTCGATCCATTCTTGGTTTGCCGGTGAGATTGTATCGTGTAAGCGTTGGTCGGAACGGTCCCAATCCTTGATGCACACCAAAGTTTCAATAATATCCTGCTGCAATGCGTTTCTCCGTTCTTCAAGTATTCGGTCGGTTGTACTGAATGCTTGTTCGGCTGCAACAGTGGAGACCGGGATTGAAAAAATATCCATTGCCAGTCGTGTTAGGATCGGCCAAGTTAATGTTCGTGCCTTCCACCACTCAACCAAATTAAACACCTCACTATTGTCTACAACTAAGCCCTCACTCAGGTACGCCATTAACTCGTTGAATCCGCCGCCACCTCTTGATGAAGATCCACTTCCACTCCCAGATTCTTCTTGACCTTGACTCGTCATCGTCGTCTTCTTCTTCTTCTTCTTAGACAACCCGAAAACATTCAAGAATGAATGCGGATTGTCGTCTCGTTGTTGCGGTTGTTCAACACGAGGTGTGTTTCTAAACCTACTTTCGTAAGAGATATATAGAGAATATATTTTTTCCTTTATAATAGGAAACTGGTCAGTAGTGTCTATAGCTAAAAATTCACCTAAGTTATCTAATCCACTTTCTAAACCTTCTAATTTTAATCTAGGGTCAAAAATAACACCGAAACCATACAACATGGGTAATTTAGACCAATATTTTTTAAATTTCTTTTCCATAGAGGCGATAGGAACTCCTAAAACCTCATGTGTCCAAAATTCACTAAATAAAATAGACATTCTTAAAAGTTCTCCTAATGCTAATGGTGAAGTTGGGTAATAAGTTCCACTAAGCTTTAAGGTAACTTCATGAAATCTACCTAAAAAGTTATACAAAAGTTCGGCAATTTGCCAATCAGTTTCATCTATAAA